TCCTACCGTGAGATGGCGACTTACGCTCATATGAGTATGATACTAGTATAGTATGCGTACGTCATACCGTTCTAAGGCTATACGAAATAAGATACTCAAAACCCGTACGATACTAGCACGGCGTACTGGTAGCGTACCCAGTCGCAAAAAAAGTATGGCGCGCTTCTATAATGTGGGTACAGTGTCGGTACATCGCACTGATATCGTACCCATTCGAAATACAAGTATCACGTACTCTTACAATACTGATGAGATAGGTATAAGAGTATTGGAAGTGTACGCCATAAATGCACTCCAATTCGACATGGTAATACAGTATATATTTAGGTTTCTTTTAGTTGCAAAAATGAACCTCTCCTTATACTCATCCCAAATACAAGTACGGTATACTATTATTAGGAGAAGTAATAGCGATGGGATAGTTATGCCAGCATTATGCACCGTACTTGTACTATACTAGAGCAATACGAGTCCCACGTACTAGTATCATACTCATTGCATCAGTACTATGTCAGTACACCATATGGAATACGGATGCAATACGTATGATACTAGGACGTGTGAGTAGTATTGCTCTAGTATCGTACTACTTCTATCCTAGCGACATTAATTGTCCTAATAATAGAAATGGGATGAGTATAAGGAGACTTGTACGATTGCAGTACGCCGTACTAGTATTATACTAGTATTGTACGTATATGGCATACTGGTATATCAGAAAGGTACGATACCAGTGCGCCGTACTAGTATTGTACGAGTAAGACCTACTGGTATATTATAGGGGTGGAATATCAGTACGCCGTACTAGTATTGTACTAGTATGGTACGAGTACGGCGTACTGGTATCGTACCTTCATGATACTGATGCGATGTAAACGGATCCAGATTTTTCCGATGATTTTAATTAACTTTTAATTAATTTTTATATTTTTTAATATTATTTGATAATCTAAAATTCAGAAAAAGAAAAAAAATTGTGTTAAAAATAATTTTTGTCGTCTGCGCATTAGTATCGCGCTACCATGTCGTGACGTCACTTCCGTCCTTCCTTCTCCCAGAGAAAACCCACTGAGTCAGACGTGTGACTTTTTCTTCTGTGTTTTTTGAGTGTTTTTTGGACGAAGTTTTTTATTTCAGCAGGTGTTTTATGTGTCAGCAGAAAGTTGAGTGTAGCACGATTACTTTTAAGTAAGTTTTTCAACTTATTAACCTTTAATAATGCACACAAAATGCACTGAGGTTTTCGACCATGAGTGGTGGTTATAGCCTCTTTTACACGTCTTGGTTTTGCATTAAAAATTAGTATTTTGATCTCTTGTGCCGGTTCGTTGCGTGAAAATTATTCGATTGTCGAATTACTACATTCAAAAATAATTCGGCGGTGGTAATTAGAAGTTAAATTACTTTACAAGTAATGAGGCCATATGTCCAATCATGTGTCAACAATTTTAACGAATTAATTTGAAACAAATTAACAAATTTTTCAAATTTAATTATTAACATAAAATTGGGTGAATATTCCTGAATTGTTACAACTAATATCAAATTTGTCGGGTAATCAGATGTTTTCAGTCATTTTACCTCATCATGAGGTTATCGCAAAATATCTACGAAGTTAGGGTTGTTAGCTAGATTTGCTTAATAGACTTCGTCGTGGAGAGACATGCGAGCTACTAATTACATTTTTGTAATATTTCCAAATATCCCCGAAAATCTGTAACATTCTTCGGAAGTGTAACTAAGAGCTCTTACTGGATTACTCTTATTGTACTTCTTAACTACTAATTTACTCTAAATAGATAACAGCAGCAATAGAAGAACAACAAAATTCGATTTGACATCCAATTTATATAGTTATATAAATATTACGATTACCAGTAATCGATTTTGTTAGTCGTTTTGTACGCCACAATATCATTGCTGAAAAAAACATACAAATGTTTGATTTTTCTAAATGTTTCGTCAACTATTTTATGCTTCCTGCAGATTCTCTTTGAAAAAAGAACGTGATCTACGAAGTAATCACTGTTATGGCCTACAAATTCAGCCAAGGTTGTATAATACATTTTGATTTTCCTTCCTACAGAAACTGTATATGAATTACTAAAAAATTAACATATATTTCAATCTGCATCCGAAACAGTAACTCCGGATTTTGCTAGCTAATCTAATCTAAAATCTAATAATAATTCTAATTATCTTTAGTAGACCGGCCAGGTTTCTACATTTTGAGTGGATTTTAGTAAAAATTTATATAATCGTTATCTTTGCGAATCATGTTTCAATTGAGCATAAAACGTAGGCGAAAACATCCAGATACTCTCAGTCGAGAGTATAAACGTCGGTTATCACGAATTCGAGAATTGGCGCGCCGTGAACGTGAAGAATTGCAAATTCATTCTCAATGAAATATTCCCTATTTTGCTAGAGAGAATCATATTTCTGCACAAGCGACGGCTCCTCAAAATAACGATGCAATGGAGAGAGACGATCTTGATCTCCACACTTCTGACTTAGGTAATATCACGATTGATCTATCTGCGCTGAATGAATCGTGAGTTTCGAATGTTTCTCGCGCGCCCGATTATTTGAATCTCCCATGCGCGCCAAACGAAGGAGATCCCGACCGTGAACCGGACGCATCTAACAATTTGAGTCCCCCCAATGCGCCAATGAGCAACACGAGGTTGATCGAATCCCATCTTTGCGCAGCGGTTAGCTACTACGTTCGTTAGAAGCAACATGACACATCGCCAAATGAATAGTGTTCTTGCCACTTTTCGGACTCATTCTTGTTTTCAACAATTGCCCATTGATTGCCACTCAACTCTCGATCCACCGTGAAATCCTGCTGAAGTTGTTAATGTAGCTTGAGGAGGGTATCTTCACTTAAGGCTTCATAAAGCACTGATTTCTATTCTCCAAAAAACTCCCAATGACATGATTCCTGACTCGTTGCAAATGGATTTTAGTACAGATGGGGCTACGTTGGATGCTCAATAAAAAATTCAAATCTGCCCAATTCAAATTAGAATCGCGAACATTCCGACTTGTAAGCCAGAAATCGTTGGTGTTTGGCGAGGTTCTTCTAAATCGAATAATGTCCATGAATTCCTCGATCGTTTTATCAATGACTTTTCAGAAATTAATACTAATGGAGGCATTATTCACAATGAAAAGTTATATCCTACCGTAAATTTCTACCGTATTTGACCGTAAACCCGAAGATTTAATGAGTTTTTCAACGTTCAAGGCTACGCAATTTCGTCAAATCGCGCTTTGCACTGGTCCAGTGCTGCTCAATGGAATGGTAGATGCATCTGTTTATTCACATTTTCTGACTTTTCATCCTGGCATACGTATTTTGACGCCTACGTCAGTAACATCGGAAAGAGATTATGAGCGTGTTCAATCATTGATGCTCATCGTTGTTGACAAGTGCGAAATGGTTTATGGTGCGGAATTCAGGAGCTGCAATCTTCATTGTCTGCCCCATGTCGTTGAGGACGCCAAACGTTTTGGATGTATTGATGGATTCTCGGCATTTCCATATGAAAATAATATGACGTACTTCAGGGATTCTTGTCGCAAACCGCATCAGCATCTCCAACAAATTTACCGACGAAATATGGAAAGGAAGACCGTGGACATCCGGGAAGGAAGCCCTGTTGTAGAATCACTAGCTTAACAAGTGATTCTTGGCAAACCTTGGCATGGACCTTTTCCACCATCTGTTACAGCAAATTGTTCTCAATATCGCTCACTCATATATCGCGGCGTCATAATTTCGTTGAATAACCGTGATGACACGGTAATTTTGGATGATTCTTCGATAACTATTGTTCAGAATATTATCTCAATTGATGACGAATACTGTCTTACCGTGAAGAGGTTCAGAAGGACAGACGAGTTTTTTAATATCAGGTGTTCATCAACCGCAGTACGAGTTTTCCGCTGTTCAGCCCTTCTTGATGAAACTTATACTGTTCCGATTTCTCCCGTTTGCGGTAAAGGTTTTCGAATGCCTTACTGGCATAAAGATTGTCGGATTTCAATCCCTGGAGTTTTTATTGCAGTTTTGCTGGCATCATCGCTGTCTGTTTAGGAGTGTAGCCATTTACGTTCTTCATTGTGATTGATTGTCCTATACATCTGTTCATGTCTACTCCGACAGGAATGATATTATTGCCGTTTGCCCATTGTGTCCAGCTGTGTTGGTAGGACATCCATTAGTACTTGCCGGTTGCATTTCATTGTTCTCTTCTGTCTGTCGCGGTATATATAAATTTTGTATTCTATCCTTAACGGACGACGTTCAGAGTAAGTTTAGAGTTCAGTAAGGGTTAACAATTTCTGAAGGTTGTGAGAAAGTGGAGAGGGCGTATAGAGTTAGGGCAAATTCGGATAATACTGTTTCCTATCCACTGATAATTTTCGGGCAGAGTTTAGTGTTCATTTTTGTAAGTGTTATTTAAATGTAATCCTTAGATTTTTTGTTCCTTACCCAAATGGAATATCCTGTTTGGCAAAGAATTTGCTGATGGAGTCTACCAAAGGACGGGGATAAAGAGTACGGGTGCGAGGAGGCGGACGAGGACGCCACAGAGGAGCAGCAGGTGGAAAAGGCGGAGGAGCAGGACGGAGATCATGTGGACGAGACTCTCTCCTAACGGCACGTGTCCTCTCCTCGATGGTGGCCGACATTGAGGCGATGAATGCCGTTTCCCGAACCCCTTCATCCCTTGTCCATCCTATAGCTTCAACAGCTACCCTCCACCACTCCCAAGCGACCTCTTTCATTTCCCAACGGAGCTCCACCCCGAAATGCAACTCTTGTCCATCCTATAGCTTCAACAGCTACCCTCCACCACTCCCAAGCCACCTCTTTCATTTCCCAACGGAGCTCCACCCCGAAATGCAACTCACAGAGTCCATCCCGTCCATTAATGCCTCCATTAATGCCACACCGGCCACCGGAGTTTGTTTCAGGAGCTGGTGCAATGGAGGCAAGGAGGAGAAGAGCAGAGGCGCTGAGGGCAGAGGGTGAGAGGCTCCAGGCAGAGGCAGCAGCAGCAGCCGAGGTAGCAGTAGGAGCAGAAGCAGCAGCAGAAGCAGCAGCAGAGGCAGCACCAGCAGAGGCAGAAGGAGTAGCCGCAGCAGAAGCAATAGCAGAAGAAGAAGCCGCAGCAGAGGGAGCAGCAGTCGTAGTAGAAGCAGCAGTTCCAGCAGCGGTAGCAGCCTCAGCAGCAGTAACAGCAGCAGCAGAGATGAGCGAAGCAGCGGAGATGGCCGGTGCTCCACGATGGGCGTAAGTCAGGTAAAAAAAAATGACTTTCCGGGCTAAAAATAACAGGGGTTCCTTCACAACAACTCATTGTTACAGGTACTATCTACTAAACAAAGTACAGGCAATCGAGCGCTTGGTAAGGTAAGATCACAGATCGATGCAATTTTTTAGTAGAAAATGATGAATCTTATGACACTCAGAATTCTAATTTAATATTTTTTTCATTTCAGGCAACATCAGCGTGAACAATTGCAGAAACCTGATGACCTCCCTCAAGGATTCCCACTGAAGAGTTTGGAGGATTTCCTCGCACTTGAAAATGCAGACCCTGGCATTTTCGATGATTTAGTATGTCTAGTAATTATTTTTCAATGTCCTTTGTAACGATCCAACGAATATTAATTGGTCACTATTTTAACACGTTGCATTTTTCATCCATCTCGGGAAGGATAATCCACAGGAATGTGCGAATGTATCCTTCCATGCTGCATTCCACCCCGAAGAGCTGGTATCGGAGGATATCACGTGGATGGGGATTCCCCGTGACGGTAATCCTCCGATCGTGAAGCACTCCCTCCAAAGAAGCCGCTTTACTCGTGCTTGCCGTGGTAAGTACTTATTGTTTGTTTGTAACGATGTTTCCCCGGAGTGTTCCGTAAGTCCGGGGAATTGGTTACCTTCGCCGGTTCCATAGCATCCGCGAATTATTGGGAGGGCGCCAGCTATTTTAAGATGGTAAAACAGCAAACCAGAGTTCCGC